AAACTGCGCAGTACAGCAAAAGCTACACGGGACAGAGGCCATCCCAACCTGTTCAAGAGAAGGGAAAGGAAGAACGGGGGAATCTCAGCCCTTCTCTCCCGTTCCTCCTTTTCCTCCTTTTGAACAGGTTGGCGTACGATCTCTTCTCTGTAGCTTTGGCTGTACTCCCCGAGAGCGAACACAAGCGTCGCTGCGGTCGCCGCGCCCTGATTGGGCGAGGTGTACCGTGACGTCCGGGAGAGGACTCCGCTCCGCGATCTCGCATCGGCTCGCTTCCCAGCACCGGTTTCCTGGTTTGGCGTTGTGTGCCGCAAGCCCTTCGAGGAGCTGGATTTCGTTTACCCGGTGTACAAGACGTTGAGTTAGGCCGACATTGACGTGCTTCCGCACATTTTATAAGTTTGCTTGTCCCTTTTACTTTTAAAATTGGGTTAAGAATCCCGAAAGCAATCGGCGGAGGCAATTCCGACGATGAACCTTCCTGTCCGTCCGAACGACACAAGGCAATCTTGCGAGGGGTCCGTGAAGCGGTGGCGCAAGTGTTTCAGACGCTAAAATTCGCTTCCTTGCATGTTCATGATTTAGGACGATATTACATCCCGCTTTCAAGGCATTTGAAGAGGCATTTATACCATGGGCCATTGGGTGGTCGGCAAATTAGTTCGCGACCCCGACTCTGCGCTGCCACTCTGCATGCGCTGGTTCGCAGATGTTTTAAAGGCCCTGTGTCTGGTTACCTTTGAAGTGCTCGTGGAACAGAGTTGTCTACATAAATGTAGTTTCTTCGTGTATTAATTATATTGTTTATACACGTATGCAGGCATATTTCCTAGAAGATGCACAATTATTGGAAATCAGTTTGTATGGTAGCACCAAAAACGGACGAATTGCCCCCAGTTGCCTGTATGATATGTATTGAACTGCCCAAAATATGCACAACAATAGTGCCGTAGTTTGGAATGTTTATACTTTTTTCCTGACATTCTTTATTCCAGTCTTCGGTATTCGGAAAATACACCGTTTAGTCTGAATGAACCTTTTCCACACACCGACGGCACCAGGCGGTGGCTGCACGAACTAAAAATCGAGGAAGTAACCTACCTGCGCTACCAATCGATAATGGGAGCTACGCTACCAGTTGCTTCGCTCTCTGTGCAGCGGCGCCTGCCCAACGCGACTTTAAAGAGGGGCATCCGTCGCGGTCGCGTCCACCCAAACGTCATGTTTTCCTTTCCGTCGACGTTTTTTTTTTTGTGTAACACAATTATATATATGCTGCAGTTACGTGTTCTACTCGCTGATATACCGCCTCCTTCCGAATTTCCTCGATTTTTCGTTCCGACTTCCGCCGCTTGGCTTCGGGCGCTCGCGCGTGCGCAGAACGCTTCTCGGAAAGGGCCATTGTCATTTCCAATTAAAAGAGACACTGCTGCATGTCCCCAAAAGCTTCCTCAGCCTCCAAACTCCCTACAGCTGGACTCTGACAACAGAGGAGAACAGGAGTAAAAGTAAGCATTCGAACGTTTGTCCAGTGGTAGATGCAGCACTAGTAGCAGGAAATGTGGAACCTGTGAAGGGCGACAGTCTGCGTGAGAAAACCTTCTGGTATTTTAGCCTCAGGACAATTCGATTTAAGTAAAATATGAATTTTAGGGCTTAAGGGACTAATAACGAGCTAGACACCTTCGCTTACATTTGTTATACATTAGTTAATGGTTGATATAAACAAGCCCACACATACCACCCGTGTAGTCTATTGAAATACTATCCGAATCCAGCGAAGGTCAAATGCGAGCAATGTATAAAATAAATGTTCCTTTTTTTTTTTTTTTTTTTTTTTTTTACTTTGCCCCCGCACTTGGGCTGTCTTACTTGTGATTCTCTTGTCATGGCTCAAACTGTATTTAGCATGTTGCTCGAGCAGCTTGCAGCTCTTCTGCTTCGGCGATCTTGTTTAAAAACAAATACAAAAAAAAATAGTATACATAACCTGCCAATTCATTGAGAACACTCAGCAGCATTTATTGCGCGGAATGTAAATCTATAATGATGCTCCTGCAATTGTGGCCATACTTCTTTATTTTCATATACCAGCTGTGATACATGCGTTGCCTGACCTGTCAACCATGCTTAAAATGTTGCTTGAAGTTTCGCCTGTAACTACAGGCCATACCTCCACAAAGGCACATATAAAAATTTACACTTCCTACGAAAAACACGCAAAAAAAAAAATAAATAGAAACGAGCGCGCCGACAGCTAGCGTAGTCACAGCCTCCACAGGGCGAGCGGGGCGAGTCGGGGAAAAATTCTCTCCTCGCCGTGACGTCACCCCAGTTCGCCGTAAGGGGGCGCCACGCGAACTTCTCGGGGCTAATAGTCCCAAGATTGGCAGTGCTAGTGCCCAGCTTTCGCCTACTAAGGTTTTGCTCTAAAACGTTAGCTAGGGTCGAGGAACTCTTCTGTTACTTTTGTACGGTTTCCTGGGGCCCGCCACGTTGTTGCTAAATTGTCAAGCATTAGCCAAAAATGCTGCATATCAGACAAACTACCCGGAGTGAAGCATACTTACGGCACTTGTTTGTTAATTTAGGCCCAAATTTGCCAAGAGAAAACCGAATGATGAGAATTGAGTTTAATTCTGGAATTTCATCGGGAACAGAGGCACACATAAGCCAGATGACAACCGAAGAACCAGGCGCTGAAACCTAACTCATGCCCCTGTTTCACAATTTAGGTCCAAAACAGCCAGACTTTGACGAAATGATTCTGAGTTTGGCTATACCTTCGCTTTTTGGAGCTTTCAGGGCTTTAAACTTTAAGATAAAACGTTTTGGCTCAGAAAGCTGTGTTACCTGGGCATGGCCTCTCAATTCCCGTCCTCTTTCCTCCGACGTTTCTTTAACAGCCCGTTCACCCTCCACCCGCAATATGAGACCTTGTTTAATCACTTGAGAATTAAAACTATCTGATAACTCTTTCCGGTAAAATTTACCTACTGATATTTTTATGTGCGCAAAGACAATATCCCTCTCAGCATATTTTGATGGACTCAAATCAAATATTTGCTTTCAGCTAGTCCATAAAACGAACAAAAGATATAAAAACTGAGGTAAAAATTTACAGATGCAGAAACACTAGTAAACCTTCAAATGGGTCTTTCTTAATGAAACTCTGTTCCGGCACACCACTCTCAAAAGTCTTAAACATTTTTTTCTAGAAAACCAACCGTTTACAAACTTTCCTTCGAATGAAACAAAGACAGTTAAATATTCACACACTAAAAGAAACACAAGTAACATACGCGTCTTAGAACAAACTTACTTTGATTCTTCATACCTCACTTCACAAGAATCTAATTACTCACTTCCGATACAAACACGCGTTCGCTGCATCAGTTGCTTTGCATACAAAAGAACCTAGGTAATGGAAACGTAACAATTACAACAGCAACTTAATTCTGGACCTTTACAATTCCGTATGCTCCAATAACCTCTTGAACCCAATCAATTTTAACTACATGTAATATTCAATAAAAGCAACTTTAACATCAAAACATAGTGCATTCCAAGGCTTCTGGTTAGAATTTTTAAAGAATTCAATCACAGCGAATTGTCCTCTATAAAAAAATTATGCATAGGTAGCAAAAATAAAAACCTGTGGCGGAATAACAGAAGCCTAATTCAGTGAAGCACTCTCGAAGCCCACCACGCGTATTGTAATGGTCATAACAAGTCCTAGAGTTGTCATGCATGAAAAATATATAGATCTAATAAAATAGGCCAGTCAAATATTTTTTTACGGTTGCTCCTCAATTGTTCTAACATTTTTTTTATGTTGTAACTAGGGCAGTGAGAACATTGTTGGGTACGTGTTATATTTCAGGTAATCTTTTCGTGTTTAATGTTATATTTCTAGTAATCTTATAATATCGTGTTATTCTAAATTACGCAAACTATTTTATGTTATTCAAGCTCTCGTGCTTTATTTCAAGAGAAGCCAATGGCCAAGTGCATAAACAAAAATCTTACACAGGGTTGTGTTATCAAGATGGTTGTTTGAATGCAGGAATATATCCGCCCTGCTAAGACCCGACATGCAGCTGCCATGGACAAACACACTTTTGTGTGTGAAGATTCATTATTTTCTCATTTTTGCAGGTGAGTACAAGGGCTTCAACAGAGGTATCGTTAATCACAGCTTGCATCTGTTTTTAATATTGAGGAGTTCGGCTTTTTGTATGTACTACCAGTTCAAAATACATGTCCCGGAGGAATGTATTTTTGCAATATACCGTAATGTCCCGAGAGATACCCACGCCCGAAAGATAGCCTACCCCTATCCTTTCCACGCTTTGGTATAAAAAAAAACACCGAAAGATAGATTATTTCTAGAAATGCTGGGTGCTGATCAACAATGACCTTTACAGAAATGGTGCTACTTAGCTGCGACAGGAGATCAGCGACTGTTTCTAAGAGGGACAGTCGTATTTCATTCCCCGCAATCAGAAGTTTTGAAGGTGACACAATTTCAAACAGCAGATTTTTCTAACTTTCCTTGGTCGCACACCGAAAGTTAGCCCACTGCTTATTTTCACCTGATTTGCTTTCAATTTCAGGTGGACTATCTCTCGGGATACTACGGTACATGTTTTATATTTGTTCACTATTGATCGCTTTTATATCACTGTATATCATGCTGCTAAGCCCTCAACTACTTGTTTGAGAATATATGACTGTGTAAAGTGCAATATATATTATCGTAATTGTAACAATTCTGATCATAGTAAATAAAACATTGCTGCAAAGGCTAACGAAATTGTGCTTTTTTTCTTCATTAGCCGCCGGCTGCACTCTGCCATACGAATCTGCAATTGGTCGGAGAAACGGAATCCCCGAAGCAACACTGGCCTACATTTTAACTGTCACATCTCTGCTCGCTATTCCGGGGAAGATTTTGATAGGATACATTGCTGACCGGACGCAAAACGTAACAAGAATATTGTTAACACTTCAATCGCTTGCAGTCCTATTCAACGGCCTTCTCTACTTCAGTGAATTTATGATCAAAACAGTCGAACCAAACGGGGAGGTATTATGCCCAGAGGGAGACGCAACTCTTTTGAATTCGTTCTCAGTGTGCCTTCAACCACCGGAGAAGTGTTTCGTTTCGTGCCCAACGAATGCCACCGAATTCGGCGAAATGGATGTGAGCTACATTTTTCAAAACACCTCCGCCGTTTGCCACACTCTTTGGAATGGTACGTCTGGTTACCACCGCAGCACCTGTCAGTTCAAGTGCCCTTGCACAGCAGGTTCGATAGATCAACGAGTTGTGTGGTTTTATGCCGTGTTTCATGCGCTGGGGTCGTTGTGTTCGGAGACTGTGGTTATCATCTCGGACGCCGGCGTTTCTGAGATACTCGCTGAAAATGTGAGGGCCTTCGGATGGCAGCGAGCGGGAGGGGCAATAGGCATGGGAGCCGCTGGTCCTATCGTGGGAGCCTTAATTGATGCAGCCAACCGATGGACGGGAGGACAATCAGGTTACCTTCCAAGCTACTTGGTCTATGCACTGCTCATTATCCTCGACAGTGTCCTTCTCTGTTGCATGCCCACACTTCGGATGCCCAAGCTGTCGGCCAACTTTTTTAAGGACATCTATGGTGTGTTCATCAATGTCGAAATTGCCGTATTCGGCTTTTGGACATGCGCCCTCGGAGCCCTTTTTTCAATCTACATGTCATACAACACGTGGTTTTTGGAGGACATAGGAGCCTCTCAGCTAATAATCGGGTTAATATCCGCAGTCAGTTGCATATGCATAGCAGTGCCCTTCTATGCTGTGTCCAGTTGGATTCTGAAAAAAACGCGCTATTATCCCTCGTATATATTGGCATTCTTGATCTTCGGGGTGAGGTACATTGGCTCTGCCTTTCTCTACAACCCGTGGTTCGCGCTTCTCGTCGAACCCGTCACCGGGGCTGCCCATCCGCTTGTAACACCCGCCATGACTGTGTTTGCTAAAGAGGTGGCGCCGGAAGGTACCACGGCGTCCGTCTTGTGCGTCCTCAACATTTGCGAAGGAGCCATCGGTAAGTTTGATGTCCACTCAGGTATGCAATAGTCAGTAACAGCTTAATTTTTAAGGAGCAAAGGGCGCTTCGGTTACAGTGACATTACGGCATTAGCACATAAGAATGACGAAGGACCAATCACGAAGTCACTGGCGTGGACATAATAGGCTTGGCCCTGTAACATAATAGGCTCCAAAAGGCACGGGTGACTCAGAAATGCTTATAACCATATTGATGCGCATTATTAACACGAAGACAAAGGTTGAAATACTACAGATATAATTATTCGCTCAATGACCAAGCATGTTTATATAGCTATAGTACCAGTGCCTCCTATATACCTTCAGTGCCAGCTAAAATGGTCGCAATACAATGCGCCGATGCATCTGTCGCAAGTGTAACCTTTAGCCGCGAGGCGCGCTACTGAAGCAAGGTCGTTGCACTGGCCGCTGCCACTGTTGTAGTCCGTGTACACGCACGGTAATGGCTGCAAACAATTCCCTCTAAATTATGTCGTTCTGCGTTCTTACTTTTAGTTCTAAATGGTATGCCATTTCACTGAAAACATGCGTATTTTTTTAATCGCCGCCGTTCACCACCGCCCCCCCCCTATAAAAAAAAAAAATTCAAACTTAGATTGCATACATTTGAATAGCACGTATGTAGTCAAGTTGACATTTCGGCTAGTTCGTATAGTATAACATATTGAGGTTTTTAGCGCACAAAGTAGGCGGAAGAACAGAACAGAAAAGAGCGCCACTCACAACTATGTTTACTGACAAGAAAAGAAAAAGAAAGAAAAAAAAAAACGAATGGTTCTTGTCAGTAGACATAGTTGTGAGTTGCGCACTTTTCCGTCCTGTTCTTCTTCCCTCTACTTTGTGCGCTAAATACGTCACAGTGTTGTACACGTTCCTCAAAAATGTAACGAAAGATCGTTCCTCGTTTCATCTGATGTTTGGAACGCGTTCCCGTTACAAGTTTCATATGTGAAAAAGGAACTCGTTCCCATTACAGTTAAAGAAATGGAACGTGTCGTTACATATACATTACATTTGTATTTTGACGATTACCATATATAATTAGATCAAACAAAGTGGTTTTGTTTTTTATCTATCCCATCAAATGGCAACATACAAAATTGAATGCAGTGATGGAAAGGCACCAGGAGAAGAAGACAAGCGGAAGCAGTGTTTTATTTGTTGATATATTCACCTTAAAAATCTCAGCTTGTAACCATATTTTGTGGTAGGCGATTTCGACGAGCCAAATGTACTGTTAGTCCACATTGCACGACCGTTTCACAAAAACCTCACGCGTTTCAATCTAACAAAGTCACTTGTTGGAACATAACAACAGTTGCTTCTCGATGTTGCTGTCCGCAAGACGAGCAAGTGAAGAAGGTAGGGCTGTTAGAAGGTCAGTCTTGAAAAGTACAGGTCCTTCTTCGTGAGGGTTGGACTCGTTGTTCAGTTTGAAGATTTATTTATTTACACAAATACCTGCTTCGCCGTTAGGCATTATGCAGGGGGGAACAAAAGAAAAACGCATTCAAAAAATATTTTCAGTAACGCAATCGACAATCATCCAGTACTAGATTTTCATTCGACCACGCTTCTCCGCAGTCTGTCATAAAAGGCGTCATTATTGGTAATAGCTATCAGTTCTTCCGGAAGGGCATTCCACTCCCGGGCGGTTTGAACAAAAAATGAATAGCAAAAACAGTCAGTACGATAACGATACTCTGCCGCAGTCTTAGAATGATTCCGCCTTGAAGATACATGGTGTGGTTCGAGAATGTAAAGACCCTTTTCAATGCCTGTTTCCCCGTGATATATACTGTGAAAATTTTTTAACCGCAAACACTTTCTCCGAAGTCTAAAAAGGTCCCAACCCAGTCTGTTCTTCATTTCTGTACAGCTCGAGTACGGACTATAATCGCCTGTGACAAACCTTAATGCCTGATTTTGAATTCGCTCTAACTTATTCGCAAGGTAACCCTGAGGCGGGTCTCAGATAACACAGGCATACTCCAAAATTGGTCAGATAAAAGAAAAATATAATGTTTGTCTTACGCTACGAGATGTATTCTTAAAATTCCTCCGAATAAAAAATAACATCTTACTTGCCTTTGCTACAATACTATCTATGTGGTCATTCCATTTTAGATTATTCGAAAAATTAACTCCCAAATACCTGTGTTTATCTACCCGCTCAAGTTCATAGTTTTTTTTATCTTATAGGTAGCCATGCTAACAATAGATCGAGTAAAACAGATGTATTTGCACTTTTTTATATTCAAGCCCATTTCCCAATAATTGCACCAGTGTTCTGACATACCTAAATCTTTTTGCATCATACAGACGTCCGCGTCATTTTTTATAACTCTGTATAATACACAATCATCCGCAAATAACTTGATATTTAACTGCATTCCTTCCAAATGTCGTTAATAAATATAAGAAATAACAAAGGTCCCAGTACACTTCCCTGAGGCACCCCCGAGGTTACAAGTACAGGTGAAGATTTTTTCACCATTTAATACAACATTTGTTCTCGCTGAGATAAGTAAACATCAACCCAATTTATAATATTTTCATTAATTCCTATTAATGTAAGCTTATTCAATAACAAATGATGTGGCACCGTATCAAACGCCTTACAGAAATCCAAGAATATACAATCTACTCGTTTTTTGTTGTCAATGGCGTTTGAAAGGTAATGTGTAAATTCAGCTAGCTGAGTTACGCACGAATAACCACGACGGAAACCATGTTGGGAAGGAGAGAAAAAATTTCTGGAACTTAAGAAGTTATATATTGAGCTATATAATATATGCTCCAAGAGTTTGCACGCAACACATGTCAGAGACACGGGGCGGTAGTTTTCAACAAGATTCCTTGATCCTGACTTAAAAATTGGAGTTACGTTTGCTTTTTTCCAATCGTCGGGAATTGTGCCAGTTGTTAGTGATTTTGTAAAAATTATATGTTGGTATCTTGCAATTTCCTCTTTACAATTGTGAAAAATTACCGGCGAGAGCTCATCTGGTCCATATGCCTTGGAAGTGTCTAGGTCTCTTCGAAGTGCTATAATCCCGTCCATTCCTATTATCACTTCTGGCATAACAGATCTTGCTATTCTATCAGGCACAGACGGAATACCTCCAAGAGCGCGGGGTGAAAAAACTGATTTAAAGTATGTGTTAAAAGATTCCGCTTTTTCAATATCACTGTTCACTAAGTTGCCATCCTTCAATAAACCAGGAATTGAAGTATCCTCTTTTTTATTTGCCTTAACGAATTTCCAGAATTCAGTAGGGTCATTTCTTAATTTGTTTTCAAAAGGCTCGCAGAAAATTAGTTTGCTTTCTTGGATATCTTTTTTAAGATTTGCGTTTATCTCCTCAAGTTTTTGTTCTAAGATATCGGATTTTTTCTATATTTTTTGTAAACCCGACTTTTACGTTTTATTTGTTTTCGAATTGTAGCATTTATCCATGGTTTATGTTTATTATTTTCCCTAATAGTCCTGGATGGTCTGTGAGAATCAGCGAGCACCTTAATTTTATGCTTAAAAGTTTTCCATAATTCTTTAACGTCGCACTCTTTACTGAGATCGGAAAAGTAAGGGAAATATTGTCACGGGTAGTGACCAATAAACAAGAAATAAACAGGAAGGAATAAACGTTTAATGTGGCGAACTTGTGCCAAAACTAAAAAGGTACAAAAGATAATAAAAGAGCGTCGCGGGCGTCGAAGTCGGCGTAGCAGCGGAGACGAACGCTGGGGCGAAACTGAATCCTGCTTGCCAGCGGAGCCGCTTTTGAACACGCGTTGGCTTCTGGAGCATTCGATGTAGAAGGTTCAACGAGTAGAACATTCTAACCTCGAATCAGCTAGACGGTTCTCGAATTCACCAGAACATCACATTACAGTGTAAACAAAAATGCGTAGCCGCAACCAGGAATCGAACCCTGACCCTTCGCGTGGGAGGCAAGCGCGATAACCGTTAGGCTACGGTCGCGCTGCCTACTTGGCGCGCGGCATTACTCCCCCCTTAAAAAGTGCATCGCCCCGATGCAACACAAAACAAAACAAAGCACATAAAGAGCACGGCAAACTAAAGAGTCATCTGAAACACATTAGATCCACAGTCCTATCGAGCGGAGTACGGCTTCAGGCGCACGACGTGGACGACTTCAGGTCGTGGTGGGCGGCGTGATGATGTTCTTGTTCCGTCGGGCATCATCTCGTAGTTGAGCTCGCCGAGGCGACGAAGTACCTTGTATTGTCCAAAGTACCGTTTCAGCAGTTTCTCACTGAGGCCGCGGCGACGGATAGGCGTCCACACCCACACCCTGTCTCCGGGCTGGAAGTGAACGTTCCTCCGACGAAGGTTGTAGCGGCCCGCGTCGACGCGTTGCTGGTCTTGAATCATGAGTCGGGCTAGCTGGCGGGCTTCTTCGGCGCGTTGAGCAACCGCCTGGGCGTCGTCGCTCTCATTGTCAGATGGCTCATGGGGCAGCATTGCGTCTAGCATGGTCGTTACCTTCCGACCATGTACCAGCTGGAAAGGGGTGAAACCAGTGGTCTCCTGAACCGCCGTATTGTAGGCGAACGTGACATAGGGCAACACCTCGTCCCACGTCTTGTGCTCTACGTCGACGTACATAGAGATCATATCGGCGATTGTCTTGTTGAGTCGCTCGGTCAGCCCGTTGATCTGCGGGTGGTATGCAGTGGTTCGACGATGGCCGGTGCCACTGAGACGAAGGATCTCTTGCGTCAGCTGGGCCATGAACGAAGATCCACGGTCTGTGATGAGGACTTCAGGGGCGCCGTGCCAGAGGACAATGGACTCAATGAAAAACTTGGCGACTTCAACAGCCGTGCCTTCTGGAAGGGCTTTCGTCTCGGCGTACCGTGTGAGATAATCGGTGGCGACGATAATCCAGCGGTTTCCCGACGTTGACGATGGAAAAGGGCCAAGTAAATCCATTCCGATCTGCTGGAACGGCATAGACGGGGGAGAAATCGGATGCAGAAGTCCTGACGGCTTCGTTGGTGGTTTCTTGCGTCGCTGACACTCGTGGCATGATCGAATGTATAGGTGAACGGTCTTCGGTAGCCTCGGCCAGTAGTACTTTTCTCGAATCCTGGCGAGCGTCCTGCTGTAGCCAAGGTGTCCAGCCGTTGGGTCGTCATGGCATCCTTGGAATATTTCGTCTCGAAGGCTGGCAGGGACAACCAACAGCCATGCTGTGTTGTTGTTGACGAAGTTCTCCTTGTACAGCAACCCTCGCCGCATGGAGAATGTATGCAGGATTCTTAAGAAAGCACGGGGAACCGAACTCGCTTGTCCCTCTAAGTGCTCGATGAGCGCTCGCAGTTCAGGGTCGTCTTGTTGGAGTGCTGCCATGTCGCTGACGTCCAAAGCGCCGAGGAAACACTCATCGTCGTCGTCTTCGATACAGGCTGGACCGGCCTCGACAGGAGCTCTTGACAGGCAGTCGGCGTCATGGTGCTTCCGGCCGGACTTGTACACAACGGTCGAGTCGTCCGGGCGAGTCGTCCGGAGGGGTCTTTCAGATTCGCGAGCCAGCAGAGCGAGTGGTGGTCCGTGACCACGCGAAAAGGACTTCCATACAGATATGGGCGAAACTTTGTTATCGCCCAGACGACAGCAAGGCACTCCTTTTCAGTTGTAGAGTAGTTCGTCTCCGCCTTAGATAGCGTCCGACTCGCGTATGCGATGACTCGCTCTGCCCCGTCCTGCCTTTGAACAAGCACCGCGCCAAGTCCGGTGTTACTGGCGTCCGTGTGGATCTCTGTATCAGCGAACTGGTCGAAGTGGCCAAGGATCGGGGGCGTCTGGAGTCTTCGTTTCAGCTCATCGAATGACCGCTGGTGTTCGTCTGTCCATTCGAACTTTACGGCGTCCTTCGTGAGGTGCGTCAGCGGTGCGGACAGCTTGGCGAAGTCCCGAACAAATCGTCTGTAGTAGGCACAAAGTCCGAGGAATCTTCTCACGGCCTTCTTGTGAGACGGCGGCGTAAATGCAGCCACGGCACGGGTCTTCTCAGGGTCAGGGAGAACACCTTTGTTGCTCACGACGTGGCCAAGGAACTTAAGTTCACCATAGGCGAATCGACACTTTGTTGGCTTGAGTGACAGGCCGGCGGTCTTGATGGCTTGAAGCACGGCTCGAAGTCGTTTCAGGTGCTCGTCGAAATCTCGTGAAAATACCACGACGTCGTCGAGGTAGACGAGGCAGCTCTGCCATTTCAGACCTGCCAGCACGGTGTCCATGACACGCTGGAAGGTGGCTGGCGCAGTACAAAGCCCGAACGGCATCACTTTGAATTCGTAGAGTCCGTCGGGAGTGACGAAGGCAGTTTTCTCCCGGTCGCGTTCGTCGACTTCAATCTGCCAGTAGCCACTCTTCAGATCCATCGACGAAAAATATCGGGAGTGGCGCAGTCGGTCTAACGTATCGTCGATGCGGGGGAGCGGATAGACGTCCTTCTTCGTCACAGCGTTCAGTCGACGATAGTCCACGCAGAACCGCAGGGTTCCGTCCTTCTTCTTTACAAGGACGACTGGGGACGCCCATGGACTTCTTGAGGGTTGAATGATGTCGTCGTCGAGCATTTCTTGGACTTGATCCTGAATCACTTCCCTTTCCTTTAAGGAGACTCGATACGGCGACTGGTGGACAGGGAGCGCGTCGTCGTCGGTAATAACGCGATGTTTCGCCATTGGTGTTTGGCGAACTTTCGACGACGTTTCAGCATACCTTCACCGCGAGATCGCGAAACCATGTCGAACAGCGAAGACGAAATAGGCCAAAATAGACGATGCAGACCCGGTCTAGTTTGCCTGGATTTGAGAGCGTTCCCAACTGCTCGATCAAAGTCACGTCATTTCCGTCCGCTTTTCCTTCGAAACACGACAACGCAAGGCGTGCTCACCCGCGAGGCGTTTGCCCAGTAGGCGTTCGCCATTCAATTGCTAACGTTCTCCATGGTTTGAGTTGCTCCCTTAGACGATACAGGCAGACCTTCTTAACACAACGCCCTCACGCGGTCGCCATGAGCGGTTTCTCAACAGCCTCGGGAGGCCGTTCTGCCAAGCGCTGAAAGTATATAAGAGGCACTGAAACATGCAAGGAGCGAAAGTATGCAGGGAAGCTGCTTAGAATATATCGTAATCTAAACCCTGGGTGTTTACATTTATTCCACATTGCATCAATCTCAAGCAGGTAGATATGTCTGTAGGCCCATCCGCAGTATAGAAGCACCACGAAAAATTTCATAAATAAATAAGCATTGCACACAAACTCGCAGTATAGTTAAATGGTCAAAATTGAGTATGAGCCAGCTGCTGAAGCAGATATGAAAATAGCAATAAGACAACGAAATTTACAGCTTAAAACGCATAAAATATTAACAATATTATTAAACAAAAACGTATATGGAAAGCGTTCCTAGGCAAAAAATTATGTATTTGAACAATAAACAAAGGAAAGTATCTGCACCAAAAGGCAAATTAAAAATTAAAAAAATAGAAAATCAGGTAAAGGTTACGGGTTAAGGTTACGGGTTTAAAGCAAAGTCACATGAACGGCTAAAAGGACCAGGACAGGACGAAAGATCCTTCCAACTGGCAGCTTGAACATTTATTGACGTTCCTCGAGACGCTGAGCGCCTCAGCGGAGGCCTGACTGAACAGCGAAAGAAAAAGAGAGGAATAAAGGGTATAACTGGGAAGCGCCTTCGTCGGTGAAGGGATGCGCGTGGAGATGTGGCTTTGATCCACCTATGTGGGCTGCAGTTATGGATGAAAATACGAGATCTCGGTGTCGAAGAGGCTGTGAGAGGAGGAGCCAATGTTGCCCAGGGCTTGTGGCTTGGAGAAATCCTCGATTATCTCCCGGCCATACCGACACCTGTGACCTCCACTTGTGCGGATGTTATTGTGATCTGGATCGCGACTTGTGCAGGCGTTGACATGCTGAGCTACCGGGTCGAGGCGTTGAACGGATGGGTGGGATATAGCTTGTTTCACCTCATTGTCGTGCTCCCTCAAACGAAGAAGACGCTTAGCTCCATGTTCTTCGTCACAATATTTTTCTTTAAACTGAGCTTTTTTTTTTTTTTTTCATAAGGTAAACAATATTTAGAATGCGCTTTTTTTTCTATGAAATTGGCTTGGTAAGCAATTTTCGGGTTTATATGTATTTACCGAAAGCACAGTGTCCTAGCTATGTCGCAGAGTAACTTTCTTTTTTTTTTTTTGCGAAAAATTTGCGTCTTGATTCAGTAAAAATGTGTTTGTTCCAGGAAAGTCGCTTGGTACCCTCGTTGGTGGGACGACATTCGCCGAATTTGGAGGCCGGTGGATGTTTCTCTACTCCGGTGTGTTCGCGGCGGGGTGCGCTCTCCTGTGCCTCGTATCACACGTACTTGTGCAAAGGAGGACTTCAAGGCATGGAGTCATAACACGTGAGTTCACTGCGGGTGCCCTCTCAGAGGGCTGCACTTTGCTTACTCAACTTAACTCAACTTTACCTACTTATCTTCCTGATTTGAAATATTTCCCTGGTTAATTCCATTCTGTACCAAAGCAAATCAATAACGGATTTAGGTTGCCTTCTCTGAATACAATCACAAGCAGATATGATTTACCTTATTTAAAAAGGAAAAATTCTATTTGATTTCTCCATCAACACATGAAAACTTATATAAATCATCTAAAGCGTACTAAGTCGTACATAAGGCATGTTTCAGTTCTCATTTGGTTTTATATGTTATCAAGTGGTTATTGAACATGCTTATAATATTTTTTGACTAATGAAGGGCTCCTCACAACTTAAAAAAGAAGAAGAAAAAATTCCAGCGACCTACAGCCCCAAAGTTTCATAATGCGTTGAATGCAGCTTTAAGACAAAATCGCAGCTCCCGAGCCCTATGCAATTCCAAGGCAACTTTTTTCTTTGTGCATCCACGGAACGGAGTGACTTAAAAATGGTTTTATTAGAAAGATAAAAAAACTGAGTAATATTGTGACACTCCATTACCTAATGTTAAAGTTTAAATATTTTACACGAACTTAAATTTGGTTAGAAAAGACCTCTTTTTTGTTCCGTACTTGATGCACATTTAAAAAGCAGCCATGGCCTAAATAAAAATTCAGGTGCCACAATATTAAAGAGCAGGAATTTTTTAATTTATCTCTAACAAGATATTTTTTACAGATATTCTCCTTGTGATAAATTTTAGCCAAGTATGTAGCCCATCAAAATGTAAAAAAATCTAGATGTTAGTTGGCACCATCTATGAGTGTGTCGGCAATACTTCTTCTTACAATGCGCAATCTGTTATCGCGCCCTGGACTGCTTATTTAATTATTTATTTATTTATTTATTTATTTATACACAACCTCAATCCCTCGGGGGCGTTGTAGAGGGGAATGGGTCAGTGCAAGTGATTTTGAAGGGCTAGTCGGAATTGCTTGGAGTCGGGTATGGTAACTATGGCGTCCGGGAGGTCATTCCAGTCCACAACTGCTTCACGGATGAGGGAATGCTGGTGTGATGATTTGATGACTTGGGACGGGCGATCTTGTATGAATAGTTCATTCTTGACGGGCGATCTTGCATGAATGGTTGAGTCTTGATGATATGTAGGTGGGCGGGTTTAGAAGAGACATCTTCAAGAAAGGTGTGTAAAAGACTTTATGACGCAAAAAAAGACGGGGAATTCGATGGCGGGAGGTAAGTAGAGAAAGGTTAAGACGAGACTTTATTGATGATACACTTGAGGTACGAGAATAGTCATTAAAAATAAAGCGAGCAGCACGGTTCTGAATGGATTCAATGGAGCCTGTTAAATATTTCTGATGAGGATGCCAGATGGGGGACGCATATTCTAATTTAGGCCTAATGATAGTGGTGTACAAATTACGTTTTAGGCTTTCAGGTGAGGATCTAAAGTTTCGGCGAATGTAGCCTAGAGAGCGGTTTGCTGAGGATATAATTGTTTTAATATGAGTATGCCGTGATAGATTAAATGTGAGATGCAAGCCTAAGTATTTGCATTGGCTAGTATAATCAATGGGGACAGAGTTCAAAAGAAATACAGGATAGGTAATTGACAATGGACGAGAGAAGCACATGCATTGCGTGTTCAAGGTCGGTCAGCTCGTGGTTTAATTGTGGCGAAACGTCCAATTGTTGCAATGGGACGTTCCGCCACTTTTTCAATAAAACGGCGTTCGATGAAATGTCCTGGGAGCCTACGCATTGCCAGTTTTTTTTTTTTTTTTTACTTTGAGTTAATTTTTTTATTAATGATCTGCTCGACCACAACTCTGGCGCAGCTTTGCACCACCCCACCTTTTTCCCCTACACAAAATCCGACAAAACACAAAGAAGATTCAGACTCCTCGGAGTGACATACAACGACGCCTACCACAGCCAGAAAGCAGTGGACTTTGAGAGTAGCGTTCTCCCCAGCACAAGGACGGAGCCGGCCCGAAGCAAGCCAGAAACCGAAACTACGGCCATTTTTGCTGAAATGTGTCTATATCTGTCGGTGCATCGATCTCATGTTTCTAAATTAGAATCGTTCATATTACGCGAGAAGAAACACTGCGGATCTGGCCGCAGTACATGGCTCAGAGCTTTAATGATATTTAAACATTCCAATTTATGTAAGTTCCGCTGGACATAGAATTGGCTCATTTCGAGAAAAAAAAGGTATTTACCTATGATCTCAAAAAAAAGGTCAGAGCGCCCAGCGCTCTAATCTGTTTTATCCTCTTATTCAAAGAGCGCCCAATGCCCCTTGACGCTGTTACTTGGTGCAACAGCGTTTACGCATTTGTATGATTTGCTGGGGCGGCGTCTTGTCCGGGCGAACGGAACAAAACAAGTGCCGTGCTCGGTAAAATATGCTGGGGCATTAGTGGCAATCCAGTTTCGCGAAGTGAATAAATCGGAACATGTAATTATAGAAGGTTTTGTTGGAAATGTTTTTTTAAACATAACTTTGTGACAATAGAACTACGCTTTATCAGTGCGTATATAAGACGGAACACAATCTAAACTTATGGTAAATGATTTTTTGGAATTTCGGCAGTACGAAATATAGTTCTGCTTCCGTGATATTTAGAAATCGCACACCTATCTAGAACAGTATATACAGCGCCAAAAAACGACAGGACAAAGACGAGAGTAAACAGGACGAGGCGCTAGAAAAAAGAAACCTATCTAGAAATAAGGGTGACCGTTGAAATAAAACACAATCTTGTGCTGGATAAAAATCTGGGACTCTAATGGCTGCTGATTGTAACGCGAACTGGTTCATTTAATTTCTTTTTTTTTTTTTTTGCACAAGAAGATCGGACACTTTTTAGAGTAGCTTTATTTTTCGAAGCACTGCTTTGCGAGAATGAAATGTAGGCTCTAAGGGGCCGTTATTTAGAACGCAAAGTCCTTCCGACTTGCGGTAGATTATTTCGCAACATTGTGACGCAACATCATGAAAGAAATGTATGGTATATTTCGTTTTTGTAATGATGATATCAACAATCAACATGCTATTTGGAAATGATATCGTACGAAAAATCTAGGAACACGAAATAGCTGAAAAACCGAGTCAATGGTTTTGCGCGGTAAAACCCGCGCAGCGAAATTGGGCGTTCTCTAACCGCGTTTTTTAATTCCTAATCCGATAAAAATGGGACAAAGGGCCCCCTTCGCACTGGTTTTGGACGTCCACACCTCTCCCAATTATCCTCTTAAAAAAAAAAAAAAAAAAAAAACAGCCATTTTCGCAGCTCGCAGGGGGGGGACGGGTTAAGTGGGGGGCTTTCAAGCTCAAGCCGTCCGCTAATAACCGAAAAAAAAAGACCAGCGTTTTCTTTATTTTTTATTTGGAAGTAGCACTATATCACTTAAGCTGATGTGTGAAAAGGCTTCCTCCCTATACTCCGCGACAACTTTTCTTGGCAAGGCAGTGGAAGGTACAGGCCTGCGTCCCCTCTCCAATTTTGAGTGTGCGCGGGCTCTCCTCCTCTCCCCGGAAATGGGGGAGGAGGAGAGCCTGCGTACACTCAAAATGAGAGAGGGCACGCGGGCCTGTACTTTCCACTGCATTGCCAAGAAAAGTTGTCGCGGAGTATAGTGCCATCTGGATTCTGGAAACGTTCATATCGGAGATGAAAGTCAACTGCGATATCCTCTTAAAGGCCGACGTACAACCTCGGTTTTCTGCAGGGAAGATAATCCTTTTAGCGCTCCCCTCTCCTAAGCTGCGAGGGGGAGCCAGGTTGGGGCAAGGTAAAACGTGGAGAGGATATAGGAAAGGAGGTGGCGGGCAAAAGTGAAAAGCGCGAAGTGTACGTCGGCCTTTAAGCGCGAAACACATGTACGACGAAACCGTCCGATCCGACGTCCGACCGCGCAATACGACGGTCGGAGGCGAGGGTTTTCCACGCTCTCCGATGCTACGAAAACCCTCTCCGCCCAAGGTCATTCCGGCAGTCCGCACGTCGGGTCGGACGGTTTCGTCGTACATGTGTTTCGCGCTTTAAAGGCCGGCCCGCAAGCAGAGAGAAGGAACCCGACCCTCACTTTCCTTTTCGCCACTATGAAAGGAGGAAATCACCTCTCGTTTCCTCCTCGCCATTTTCCGACTTTTTTTGTCTTTTATTGCGAGCTGCCTGTTTTTTTTCTTTTTTTTTTTTCTTTTTGACAAGTTTGGGGTGGAGGAAATGAAAGCTTCGAGGATTTGAAAAGATTATCCAGAAGCCAGCCGGCACACCTGCGACAAGGAGCTGGACCAACCGAGTAGCTGCTTTGAGCGAGCTTGGCACTTGCTCTTCCCAACGAGTTGCATTGGCCCTTTTTTATCATTGGTTTGGAGGACGATTCTTGCTGTTGTAAGAGCCAAATACGTTGTTCTGCTCAAAAAAGTAATCACTGAAGTATTCATTTTATTATGAATATCTGATTTGTCATCTTTCGTTGTTTAGGCGGATTCATGGCGACAACGGGAAGTACGAGCGGCGTTTTCTGTATATCAGGGATGGCGCTCCATAGACCAGTGGTTCTGAATCATTATGGTTCGGGGACCGGCAGAGGTGACGGAGGATCCCATCCGTAGTGGGTTTAGCACTTTTCGGTGCAGAGCGTTTTGCTGTAGGGCATTTCGGTGCGGACTTTTTGGTGCACAGGCATTTCAGTGTACCAGGCACGTAGCCAGGATTTTGTTTTAGGGGGGGGGGGGGGCCTGCCTATGACAAAATGCTGTATGAGGGGGAGGGGGAGAGGATGTCCCAGCAAAATCAAAGATTTCGGGGGGGGGGGGGGGCGAGCCCCATGGGCCGCCCCCTGGCTACGTGCCTGCAGTGTACGGCCGTTTTGCTGCAAAGACTTTTCGGTGTGGGACTTTGATGCATGGACATTCGACGCTATGGTTTCCTCGCCGGTATCTCTTTTCCAACGTACGCAGACACGTACGCTTCGCATCGTGTTTGCGCGTTGAGTTGATAGAGACAGTCTCCTCTACAAGTTTTTGGCTTTATTATTGGTCCTGCTCATAGGAAAGGACCCAAACAGCAAGACGTTTGAAGATGTTTGTGTAGTCAGAACAATTTTAAATATCTTAAAATGCGCCTCCTCCGCGTAATCGCTTAGCTCCGATTGTTAATAATAATTCGTGATGACCTCGCACGACAAAAAAAAAAAACAATGTAATTATCACTTGCAACTCATTAGGGAATAAAGTAGGCGTGTGCGGGTACAAAATAAGTGTAATCAAATCAAATATCGATTTCAATCAAGTAAACAAGCCGAATTTGGTGAATGCTAAAACTATTTTATTTGGTATCAAATGTTTGCTCATCCTCGTACAAAAAAAAAACAGTGACCACAGATCATACACAGCGTATGACCTGTGGTCAACGTCTCCTTCCATGCCGTATTGATGTTGCCGGCCGTAAAGAACTGCCTTACAATCGTGCTTATACAGGGCGACTTTTTCTTTTTTTTAACGACTAGACTTTTTTTTTAGAAAAGACGTCAGAGTTACGCACTTGCGGTTTGTGCCTTATCTGTAGTCATCAAAAACGCCAAATCATTCATTTATAAAAAGATCTAGTGCACGTGAAGTGGCTCAGGGCGTCCTAAAAAGCCTAATTTGGTCGCGAATCGTGTTACCGCAATTTTTTCGGCCGCCGCGCTCCTCGCCCCTTCTACAGTGGCGTTGTCACAGCGATGCGCATGATTTGTCGCTTTGGCTTCATGGCGTTAAGCTGTGCCACGCGGAGATGGAGTCCACATAAAATCAGAACTATATTTTCGCGCTCAAATTAGGAGGACGCCGTATCAGGACACCGCATAATAGTGTACGCGCGTTACATCTTTTTAAGAGTGGACGGTTTGGTGGCTTGCGATTATATGGCCAACAACTTTCTAAAAACACGATGCCGTTTTCTTTTCTAATTAAAAGGTTAATTAGCGAATTTTAGGCAATCGCTCGATTTTAGTTGCGTTCGTTCTTGAACCTAATCCTCGCCTGGCCGTATAGCTCACCTACACAAACCGCAATGGCGCTAATTTTCACTGGACGATTTCGTGGCTTTCGATTATGAACAACAACTTTATAAATCAAGTACCTCGTTTTTTTATTATTTTTTTTTAGGCAGCATGAAAGGAAGCACTGCACTCTTGGCGCAAACCAGTGCCCAGTCAACGATCCTACGCTCAAACACGCATCACCACCCGACCTGTTTGAAAAATAAATAATTTACAGTACTTTTGGTAGAAAAGGCGGATTTTCTACTGAGCGTGATATTTTGTGGACCCAAAAGTCCTGTAGCCAAGATCGGTGGTTGACAGCTTCAGGAAGACGAAGAACGACGGATAGATTATTTACCGCAGAAGTACTGTTTTGACGTTGAATTCCACATAAAATTGTATATGCACAAATTGTGGCACGATACCGAACTTGCTTGATTACTTTTCTTGTATAGACAACATAACCACGCATAATCTACAGATATTGCAGAATTTGTTTTAATTGGCGTACAGCGCGAAAGACAAGTATGGACATAAAGAACACAATAGAGCTCTGCATTTCTACTGCATTTCTTTCTGTACTTGCGGACAGTTAGTCCGCATGACTATATTCAAAAATTTCCAAATTGTTTAAGCCTACCCCTTTTTATAGTTTTTTCCATGGATGAATCGTGGCGAATCCCGGCTGGGTTCGGGTAAAGGTCTCGCACGTGTTCAAGGACACATTTTGGCATGATTTCCCGCTTGGTGACGATGTTGAGCTGGCCGCTGTTCCGCTTCTTTTCTAAGTAGGCGGGGAACGCCAGACACCTAAATTAGCCAAGCAGCCCCAAAGCTTGCGGTAGTACACCTTCCGAACTCCTGGTTTTTTTTGGAGATGGTCGCTGGCCTTCGCCCACCCTGACAGAGCCCCGAACAATTATGATGCAAGGGCTGCAGAGGCTATCTGGGCATTCCATTTCTTAATCAGCGAACAAATGGGAACAGAAGAGAGTGAAAACTTCGTAATACCTGCTGTCTTTTAAAGGGGCACTGACACCCCAAAGGTCGTATTATTTTTTATTGCCTAAATTGATGCAAGTTGCAGTCATATACACGCAAAAAAAACCGCATCGCGAAAAAAAAGTTCCCCGAGCGCGCGCGCGCCTTTTTATTTTTGGCGTTTATATTTCCCGCGCTAACCTCCTTGCTTCTTTTGATCGGCGACGTCAAAAATCAGGAAATTTAGAAGCTTTGTAGGCGACATTTCTATAACATTTAATAACAGCAATCGTAAAACATGTTTTTTAACGCAATTGCGAACGCACTACGGCCGCTCTTTTTGAAATACCAAAAATCAGATTTCGGTGTGACGTCGCTTCCTGGATATGTATCCTCCCTCGGAAAACTTGGCGGCGCTAACGGCCAGATGGGGACAGTACGGCTCTGGATGGGGAAGAAACCGGTTTTTTCCCGCGCCGGCTTCTATCCCGCCTGCTTACCTCCTCCTCGCATCGGGTTGCTGTGGCAACGGCGGAGGTCCCAAAGAAAGTTGAGTCGCGGGAGACCGCAAAATTTGACTCACTGCACTGGCGCAGATCACGCGGGAATTTCAAATTTGGCATTTGGAAATTGTTTTTTTTAATTAAGAAATACTGAATTCCCAAGTTTCAAAACTTGAGGGCAATGTCCCGGCATCGTTTTCAATCGTTTCGGATAATAAAAAAAAGTATGATATTGTTGTGTCAGTGCCCCTTTAATAAAGGGCATAATATGCTACTATTGCTAGTTGCACTATTTTACGCGAAGAAAATTGTGATTTTGCGGTTCAATCTCCGTGTTTTCCGTTCTCTTTGCTGATACGCAAGATATTTGTCGGCTGTCGAGTTTTCAGTTACATTTGTTGACAGAAACTAAATGCACGTTTGGCCGCAAAGAAATTTTTTTCAAAGGGTGAAGATAGATGAAATATACCATGAACCGTTTCACTTTTTATGGAAGTTTGTTTTTACTCTTCTTCGTAGCTTCAACGAGGCAACCGTCACTCTAGAAAGCACCTGTAGTACGAACCCATATGTTATGCCCCAGAAATGGTCAGACTGTGTCCCTCTGACTGCAATATTTTTGACCTGTAATTACTCATGATTATTACTTTGTACAAAAAACAAAAAAAAACAGTATAGTGATACAATCACTCTTCAGTGTGCCGTTGTTAGAACGACCAATTTTAAACTCTCTTGGTAGAGCTCAAAGTTGAGATAAAAATACCCATCTTTTTTCCTTCTGCTGCGATGTTCAAGTTCCGTTCACTCGAGATAAATATGCGGTGTTGTAGCGTGTGTGGCCGCATGCGGAAGTATCTGAATGTAAAAGAACTTGTTGTTGGGCAAGTTGGTGTTGACTATCTGAGTGTGTTTTAAAGCTGCAAAAAAAAGAGCAAAAAAAAAAAAAAAAAAAAGAAGAAAAGCGGGCCAGCCCGAGCCCTTCCGAGCTCATATCCAGCCTGCCTAACTAATCCCTGGTGTTTGGGATTGAAGCAGAGATCCTTGAAGAGTTACAGAAATTTTGTCGGGGGGCCGGTAAACCCATTAGCACTCGTGCGAGAAGGCCGTAAAAAGCGAGGAGGAAAATGGAGGAGGACAGGGGAGGAGGAAAAAAAGAAAAGAGGGGGAATCTTCTGCCACGCTGAAGAAAATTTTGAGCGCCCGCCTTTAAGGACCAAGTGTTTAAATTTGTTTAAAGCATTTCGTGTTGTTTTTGGTGCTGAAGAACACTCTCTTCTAATTTTCACGCTAAACTTAACGGGGAAATAGAAGTCACGTGACCCTAAGTCACGGCGTCAAGTTGTGGTGTAAGGTGATATCATGGCAACACGACAGATAAGCTCACGGGATCCTAAATATCCTTCTAAATTTACCGAAGAAATGCTGCTTGACGCCACTACTCGTGCTTTCAATTTCGTTGCTAAATTTAGCACGAAAATATTACAATGTCGATTTGAAGTTAGTTTTTACTCGCCTCGTCAAACAGGGAGAGGGTAGGAGAGTCCATCGGTGATAGTGAGGTTTTGGGGGATGACACTAAGAGAGCATACCCCGTTTTTAGGTTAAGAAAAAAAAGAAAAACTTCTCCCTTCATACCTTTTCTCCTTCTGCTTTTCCAGAGCCAACGCTGGAGAGGAGGCGAGACGAGGCGAGGAGAAACTTGCCTCCTCTGGTTCTCGGTCTGATTAGCGTAAAGGGTGGAGGGCTTCGCGGGAGGAGCGACCGACAGCCAGGCCTGGGTGCTTCGATAAATGGCCCGAACCAGGACTGGGCTTCAAGTCGCCGGCCAGAGAGGAACCCTCAGGACAAAGCCTGAGGCTCCAGAAGAAAGCGGAGGAAAGAGGCGGTGTCCTCCGAGCATCCAGCGGCGGGCAGCAATGACCGCATTCCAGGAGTAATTATGGCAATCAAAAGATGAGATCTACAGTACCGCGTTTTCTAATTGGTGTAGTGAATTTAACGTGAACATGTTGAGTTGGACTCGAAAAGAAATGCGTTCTGTTTTTGTTAATGGTTTTCCTAGTTATGTCTCTGCGGGCTAAGAGCCTCACGTGATTGTACGATCTTGCCTATTTTATTTTTGCTATTTTTGATGCTAATATTTTATTTTTTAGTACTTATTTCATTAATGTTATATATATTGCGCGTGTATTTTCGTTTGTCCTCTGCTGTTGTATGGGGGGCAGGGGCTTGTAAAGCAACACCAAGTTGCTTGTTTCCCTGTTTCCCGTCTTCGAGAGGAGAGAAATAATGAATTTGAATTCGGGTTCTTCGGACTCACGAACCGAACCGAAACTGGGCTACCACGTCGCAGTACAACCAGGCGGCAGCAGAGCAGAATTGAAGGTGTGACTTGCCGGTCACAAGTTGTTGGCGACCAACAGGACCTCCGTTTGGTTCAAGAACTGAGAGGAAAACAACACTTCAGCAGCTTACACACTGGTGGTCTTCCAGGGTTCATATCCCTTCATACCCTGCTCTGACGCAACTTCATAGGATTGTGCACCACTAATACCACGGTCAGACGAGCTAATTTACTGCACTTCTACCAAGTGCACTTCAGCTCACCGAAAGTCACTTCAAGTGTTTCCTGCCACACGGGATAAATTAGTGTCACTTGGAAACGAAGACAATAATGACACATTGTAAAATACTATTGGACACCTAAAATGTTGAAGTAAAGGCGTTGACGCCTTGGCAATATTTCATCTATTTTAATGAAGACCTGTTACGTTAATTGACAATATTTACGCCAAGTGGATGACTCTGATCGATCACGAGCCAAGATAAAGAAAAAAAAAAAACAAGAAGCAAACTCTCTTGCAGTCGACTGTGTTCAGGAAGGCGGCATGTGGCACATACGCAAATGACACCAAAAGTGAAGTGCACTCCGTTGAAGTGCACTAAATCAGCCCGTCTGAGGGTATAAGATGCCGCTACTGACACAACACTTCTAACTGAGCCAGACTGAACCAAGCCCGAGAATTCGTTGTAAATATCCCTATATTTGATGATATTTTTCTTCGAGATTACTCTTTAATACAAATTTACGTCCCCTTAGGTCTCGTCTCTGAATTCATACCCTTATTAATTTGAAACTATTCCTTACAGTGCGAAAGAGCCCAAAAAAAGCTCTGTGTCCTTCTCCTATCCGGACTCCTCCTCGGTTTTTGATGACATAAATTGAGAAGGCATTAAAAAGAATTGGAGATATTCCCAGTTCAATGTGTGTGACAATCGTTGATGTCATTCGTCAAACTTTTTTTTACGACCATTGCAAACGCACAACATTGCTGATTCGCAAATATAAAAAATCCAGAGCACGGAAGAGTTAGGAAGGAGGCATCGGCCGTCTCTTGTTTTTGCATGGTTTTTGTTACACTAGATATGGCGGCGCTTGGCGGATGTGCTGAGCAACGTTACAAATCAAAGTCAGTTTATAAGCTTCCTAGAACCCATGGCGGCATTTCGTGGTGCGTCCGCTCAGTGGCGCTCCGTGCACTTTCAACCAACCCTATGGACAGAAGCGGCGGAACCGGTGGAACGTTGGATGCACATTACCTGCGGTGGAAGGCAATTCTATCGTGCTAATTATGTTAAACATAAAGTTTGCGCTAAACTCGGCACAGAAAGAGCGCCGTTCGGAGAAGTTCTTCCTTGGATGCCTCCTTCAATGCCTTCTTCGACACTGGCGGCGCGTGAAACGCTATCCGCTACACATTTTCGAGGACAGGCAACAGAGAAGAACCGATTTCGAACGCCGCTCTTTCGCAAAGCTTGTCAACTGATTGAGCTAAACACATTGGTACCGGAGGGGTTGAGAGGAATAGGACCCACTCAGAAGTTGATTACGGGTCGCCCGTGTTGTTTCTCTCGGTATGGGATAAGCTCTCGAAGTCGAGAAAGCAATGAATCTTTTTCAGTAACGAGCGCCGTCTGGGGTGTTATCTTCGAACTAAAATAAAGGGAAGCCCAACTTTCCTCGGCTCGTCAGAATACATTAACATCGTTGCCTTTTATACCTCATACAAAGGTCTACTCAAGCGAGAATGGCTAAAAGAGAAAAATACGCTCAAAGATAGGTGCTTAATATGTTGGTCGACCCGATCTTTGGCCTCCGAAAATTGTGAGAAAAAAAGAGAATATTCATTGTATACGTGCTACAAATGAAAATCAAACTAGAAAGTGGCGCTTCTTCTGGCCTCGGGAGATTGCAGGTGCAACTCTACAAAGAAATAAGCGTGCGATTGGCGAATTGACAGATAAAAGCGAATGTAACTCCTATCTTTAATTTTTAATAAAAATATGAATGTTAGAGAAAGCTTCCGCTTGGAAGTCATCCAAAAAGTCAATGAGTGCATTGCTACGCCGACCAAGTCCTTGATTCGGGCAGGAGTATCAAATCTGGCTTCTTGGAAATAATGTTTTTCTCTGCAATACGCTCTTCCCCCGACTCAATATTTAGGATGATCCCCGGAAATAATATACAGTCGTTTAAAAGGATACAAAATATCAACCTTGGTGTGTCAGTGTCCCTTTACGACGCAGTCAACTAGTCCAATTCCTAATTTTCGGTCTAATGCAAACTTTGTTTTTATGTTTTGTGCATTTACTGCAGACAAAGAGGGTACTGCTACTGCGCACTTAGCAATGTCATACGAGAAGCATCAAGATTAATTCAACCCTTCAGGGTCTCAACAAACAGACTCATGAAGATATGCATGTTTTGTTGTCACTTGGAAGTCAATTTTTCCTGTAGTTAAAAAAAATCTTACAAATCAAACATTTTGATTAACACACTGAGGCATAAATACTATCAGCGTTCATTCCTAATAAAAGTGTGTGAGCTATGCTACTCCAGGTCAACTACAAAAATTTTGTAACTTCGCCGATTTGTTTATGGGTGCGTTCCGTATGAATATAAACATGAAAGGTACGGAAACGTAAAACATAACCACATATTAACTAAATATGGAAGCCCTTTTTTATACAGATGCGTTGATACAGATACGTTGAAGAGGCATGCGCACAAGTATTGCTTTGTATATATTATATTACATTCTATAGCCGTTCCCGGAAGATGCACTTCTGCATTTTCTAATATTAAAAAAGTTATAGTTTAAGCTCGAAGGTAACAGGCATCCACACTTTCCTGCCATTCAGAGCTTCGAAATTTGACGGACGCGACGAATATTTAAGTTGCACATGTACATGTTGAGCCCAATTGAAGCACGCATTGAAGCGCGCTGCAGCATCCCCCCTGGGCCGACCCTCGCGGAAGGGCCGAACGTGGTTTAGGGCCGAGCGAGCCGGAACTGCCGAGTGCGGGGCCGACGACTGCGAAAGGGCCGGGAGGGGTGTCGAGGCCGAAAGAGGGGGGAAGGCCGGGCACGGCGGCAAGGCTTAGGGAAGCGTAAGGGCCGATAACGGGGGTGGGGATTAGAGCGATCAGTGCACGCGTGGCTCCTTCGTCGACGCGGGAATTCGTTGGAAAGAAAACCGATAGATGGCGCGCCCTGTTTTCGCTCGTTTCTGTTTGGAGACCTGTTTGGTTTGACGAGTCTGGCGTGGAGCACGGTGGAAGAAAAATGTCTTCCACCGTGGCCTAAAAACCTTGTTTTTTTTAACACACATTTTGAGCGAGCGATTGTAACGACAGAGTGAAGTCTGGAAAAGCGAAACAACGCAATCCCGCTGCATGAGCTCTCGTGCAGCCAGATCCTCTTGCAGCGCTATGAACTCGTGCTCTAGCCTTCGCTATAATACAGGGGGCTCCTAAATAGACCGATCTCGCCAGCCAGTTTGACCACGCTGCCGCAATGCATCGGGGGAACTTTAGTCTTTCCGCATGTGCGACAACTGCGCTGGAGCTCTGCGCGTGTGGAGCACGAGCCCTTTCGTGCACTGCCGTTTGCTTTATGTGAACTAAAGTTATGGCGGCGTCACGCATGCGCCAAACACTTAGTGAGATCGGTATATTGTCCCAACATCTTCGTCTTCTATGTGCTTGCCCAATAGGGCGCGGGCACAAGCCCTGTTTGAATAGAAGCCTCTTGGCTCCCCTCTAAGTTGGCTGGCGCAGTGTCTTCACGCAGCAAGCGAGGTCAGGAGCTTCGCTTCGTCGCGTACTACTACTTCCGACTTTATAAGCCCCCACAGTGGAAGGCAAGAGGCAGAACCTCAGTTTTTTCTGCGCCCCTGCCAACAGAAGAAAAATAAACTTACCATGATCCCACGGATAAATTCGGAGTACACTTGATGTGTGGTGTCTGAGGTGGCCAAAAAAAAAAAATTCAAAATATTCCTACGAGGGCAGCTAAGCCTATCGCACATATTACACATTCTGTGCATTCCGAATTGTGTGTGCGATCGATCTAGGTAATTTGCAAAGAAAAAGTCTTCTAAGCAAACGTTTGGATACAAAACAAATGAGGAGATCTACGGAATGGGATTTGCTCCTTTTTGATCCAGGGGCCCGACATGGAATTCTAAATTGATACCTGGCTCCAGTGTTGGAGGTAACGCGTTACTAGTAACGACGTTACTGGTAACGCGTTACATTTTTCGCTAACGCAGTAACGTACTCGTTAGTATTCTGAATGACTAACGAGTAAAGTATTTCCGTTACTTTTTTATGGTATCGGCCGTCAAATTTCGTTACTCGTTACTTTTGACCAAAACTGGTGAAATCCTGCACGAGCTTGTCTCAAAATCCTGCACCAGCTTATCGCTGCACGGAACCAGCATCCGTCACAGTAAAGTAAAAAAAAAAACTCACTTCTCGAAGGCGAAAAAAACCTTCGGCTACCAGCTAATTCCCTTCATCCTCCTTTTTCTTTTTTTTTTTATAGTGCCACCACCCACAAGGCTTGAACGAACGACAATTTTACAGCCTCCTCCCCTCCCTCCTCTCCCCCCCCCCCTGCTTTGTGCAGCAGAAGTAGACCGGGGGGGGGGGGGGGGGGGGAGCCGTGGAGAGACATCCGTT